GCGATACCTCATTTAATAACCGGACACGCATGTCCGACATGCGTGTCTGATTTTAATTTTAATTTTTTTAATTACGATACTCCAATGCCGTGTCGGACACGTGTCCATGCCGTGTCCGACGCATGTCCGTGTCCGACACTGCATACCCTCTCTAAGTGCAGTGTCGGTGCATCATAGCTTATAAGTGATGAGATGTTCATCTCTTGTATTAAATAATATATTAGCAATTACAAAATCATAAGCTAAAGAAAAATGATGAGATGTTCTTTAGATTTGTGCTTAAACTTACTGAGGAGACTCACTAGAAATGCAATATTTGTATTGTGTGAAATAGATATATTATTTTTCTAACTAATCTTTGATATTGCCCTTTATTTGGATTGGTGTAATTTTTTATTTGGTTCAATTAGAATTTCACAAGATTTGCAATCAGTCATTTTTATTTTCTTTAGTAGGTCCTCAGCATATATTTGTTGAGAGATGATCTTATTTTGATTGAGCAGCTTTTAGTCTCAAAATATATTTGTTAGTATTTTTCTTTTAGTATTTTTCGTTGTTTTGTACTTTTTTTGTAGTAATTTTACTATATATATTACCTTTGGAAGAATTTTATTCCTTTTGAGGGGAAGAGTTTTTAATTAAGTCCCATACCTTGGGGTTCAGTATTTATCATGGTAGATATTTTGGAGACCAGCGCATCACATATTATGGTTTCTTTTTTTCCTTCTTCAACTCATATGAGACAAAAATTTTTAGTGATTGTAGGTTTTCATTGCTTAAGATTTGGATATGAACTTAGTAAATACTCTTTTTCCTTTCTACAATTTGCTTGAGAGTTGCCGCATTATTGCAACATTTCACCTTAATATCATGGTAATAATCCAGTTTATCCAATAAATCTTCATTGCATTAAAGTACTCGATTACAAAAAAGTTTGCTTGGTTATTGAAATCTTAATTTTGATTCCATAAATCAGAGAAACATTCTTTACTTTTGAGTACATTATTTTTATAGCATCTCAAAATTTTTTTTCCAATAGAGAGGAACATATGACCTATTGATTTTAAGCATCATGACTATAACCATGACATGATCATGGAATCGTTTTATCTAAAAAAAGAAAAACTTTGGGTTCTTCAGCTTCGGAGGAGAACCGCAAGGTTATGGATTTTTACCTTTATTTTCATAAAGGTCTTCATAATTTGAGGTCACTTTAGATAGTTTCAAGTGACACGAGGCGTATAATTGTTGGAGTTCTTCCTTAGTCTGATTTTCACCATTCTTGATGGTTGAAGTTAAAGAAACCAGATATATTGAATTGAAGGAATAATCCCTATAAGAAAGAACGATAACAAATGTTTGAAGAAAGAAATTCCAAACTCCCTCTGATATCATGTAAAAAAAGTAAAAAATGCTTCTTCAAAATTATATTGTTTAGTTTTGTACATATTGTGGAAGTATACATAGACTTCTCCAAAAGTTTAATAATGAAATAAAGGCTTTAAAAAAAAAGTCTCCAAAAGGTGTCGATAGCTAGAAGAGAAAGAAGATGCATACAAATTACAATATAAGAGCTATAAGTGGATCGATTTAATGGTTTAAACTCTTAATCTATGTGCTTAATTATCTCTGCTAAGGTTAGTTGATTTGTGGGTCCTACGATCATTCAACTGTTTTGTGCATGATTATTGGTTCAATCTCGGTTTCAAATTCAAATTCTATTTGAGTTCTATAATCTAAATTAATCATAAACTCAAATTAAATTTTAGGCTTAGATTCTTTGTTTTGTTTTTATATATGTATTTTATTCTCAGCAATATACTTGATTTCTCTTAGAAGTTCCAATTCAAATATGATTTTTAGATTAATGATAGATTATAATTTTGATTCATATGCGACCTCATGCTCATGCTAATTTCCTTATTCAAAATTTAACTCTTGTTTAAGAGTAAGTTTAGATTCAGTTATGTTTTAACGAAAGTATAGATTCTAATTCAACACAATCAGATATAGGCTCATGTTATAGTTATAAATCTTATGCATCGAAGACATCTTGGAATGAGTATTAATGCTCATAAATTTCCTCAATAGTATCAGATTCACATGATTTTCTTATCAGTTAATATTTTACTGGATTAAGAGGATAAGTTAATGATTTCTTTATATAAGTTAATAAATTGTATTGATTATTTGGTCCGTTATGCTTGAAATTATTTTATTTAGTTATGTAAGTTTATCAAAAATATTAGCAAAAATATTTTTGAGAGTAAGATTTTAGATCTTAAAATTTTGTCTATGCATGAGGATGCTAATGTTATGTGGGAAAAAGTAGATAGTGATATTAAGAATATTGCAAAGGATGTGTTTGGAGTATCAAAGTGAAATTCTTCTATTAGTAAAAATAGTTGGCGGTGAAATCCAAATTTATTAGAAAAGATAAAAAATAAGAAGATTTGTTATAAAAATTGGTTTAGATGTAAAAATTATGATAATTGGGAAAGCTATAAAGAAGTACGTAAGGAATCTAAGAAAGCAATATGTGATGCGAAGATCTTAGCTTTTAATGATTTATTTAATAAATTAGATACTATGGAGGGAGAAAGATATATGTATAAGTTAGCCAAACAAAGAGATAAGAGTAGTACGGATTTAGTTCAAGTGAAGTGTATTAAGAATGAAGATTAAAAAGTACTTTTCTTAGAAGATGATATTCAACATAGGTGGATGAGATATTTTGCTAAACATTTTAATGAAGAATGTGAAAATAAAATTGACTTTAGTGACCCAAGCACCCTAAATGATAATAAAGATTTTTGTTTTTATCGGCATATTAGTAAAACCAAAGTTAGAGATGCTTTAAAGAAAATGAAGTGTGGAAAAGCTTTTGGACTAGATGATATTCCAAAAGAGGTGTGGAAATGCTTAGGCGATTAAGGAATTTTTTGGCTTACTAAACTTTTTAATATTGTTTTGAAGACTAAAAAGATGCTAGATGAGTGGAGAATGAGGATGTTAATTCTTATTTTTAAGAATAAATATGATGCACGGGATTGTGCAAATTATAGAGGAATTGAGTTAATGTGCATACTTTAAAACTTTGGGAGCTAGTCATGGAGCGTAGGTTGCGGTGTGATACTAATGTTTCTCAAAATCAATTTGGATTCATGCCGGGTAGGTCTACTATGGAAGCCATAAATTTATTGAGAGGTTTGATGGAGAAATATAGAGAGAATAAGGAGGATCTACATACGATATTTATTGATTTAGAGAAGACATATGATAAAGTTCCAAGAGAAGTGTTGTGGAGAGTTCTTGAAAAGAAAGGAGTTAATAACGCTTATATTCAAATCATTAAAGATATGTATGCATGAGCTATTACTTGTGTTCAAACACAAGGTGGTTTAACCAAGTGTTTTCCTATTTGGTTTGGATTACATCAAGGATCAGCCTTAAGTCCATATCTTTTTTCTTTGTCATGGATGTTCTCACTAGACATTTGCAAGAGGATGTACCTTGGTGTATGCTTTTTGCTGATGATATTATTCTTGTTAATAAAACTAGAAAGGGAGTTGAAGGTAAGCTTGAATTATGGAGGTCAATCTTAGAGTCTAAAGGTTTTTGCTTGAGTAGATCTAAAACTGAATATATGGAGTGTAATTTTAGTAGCAATAGACCTAGTGAGGGGATTGTGACTTTGGGCGATCAAGTCATTAATAAGAGTATATATTTTAGATATCTTGGATCTTTTGTTCAGAGTGATGGTGAAATAGATGGGGATATTATCAGTAGAATTCAAGTTGGATGGTGTAAGTGGAGGAATGCATCGGGCTTGTTGTGTGATAGAAAAGTCTCCCTCAAACTTAAGAAAAAGTTCTATAAGATGGTGGTGAGACCTGCAATGCTTTATGGTGCCGAATTTTGACCATTAAAAGAGAAGCATAATACTAAGTGTTGCAGAAATGAGGATGCTCAGGTGGATGAGTGGCTTTACCCTTAGAGATAGGATATGAAATGAGCATATACGTGAAAAGGTTGGAGTAGCTCCAGTGGAAGATAAGATTAGAGAGAGTTGCCTTAGATGGTTTGGTCACATAAAATGGAGGCCTTCCGATGACCCGGTTAGGAAAGTTGAGGTATTAGATTTGACTTTTGTTAAGAAAGATAGAGGTAAACCTAAAAAGACTTGGTTATAAAATATTAGAAATAATTTTCTTTATTAGATTTAAATGAGAATTTGATATTTAACAGGACAATGGAGAAATAGGATTCATGTAGCCGATCCCACGTAGTAGGACAAAAGTTTGTTGTTGTTGTATGTAAGCTTATTAAAATTTCTTTTCTTTAATGTTATGATGTTTGAGCCCACTTCTAGTCATTTTGATATTATGCATGAGAAGTGATTGTAATTTTTTTTTTTAATAATTTTAATTATAAGTGTGGTTGTTCTATCATGTTCATATTATCGAAAAATCTTAGATAAAATCTACTTTGGGAATTTTGGTGAATTGCAGAGCTCTCGCCTGCCCTACGATAATACAAATAATAGTGACAAAATAGTATCGATGAAAATGATTAGCTACAAAGTTTATTAACTTATCACAGTATTTATATGCGTCATATTCCATCATATTCCATCTTGTTATAATGCTTAAAATTTTCATGCAGTTGATCCTTATATTCACTGAATGATATTGTTCTTTTAAGTTTATGTTTAGGTCAGGCCATTTAGATTTAGATTCATTTGCATTTCACTAACACGACTAATCATAACCCACTAATTTGATTTAGCATACCTCTTTTCGCTTTTACTGATTGATATCTAATAATCAATTGATTTCAAATTGATAATAATAAAGAATAAATTTTTAACATGTTAAGATTTCAAATCCCAATGACTTCTACCGACTGGTGTGATCTCTTTGATTATAAGTGGAAACTAATTCTCACTTCAGAGCATTGGTTTATTATCATTGAATATTGTCTTCAATTTCAATGCATAGTGTTTGGTGAAAGGTTGCCACAAGAGACTTCGTATTGTTCATACCATAGAATTTAATGAAGGCGGAGCAAATATTCAAATAACAAGGGTTGCCGTCTGGGAAGAAGAGTGGGTCAGCCCAGTCAATATTTCTATTGCAGAGTAAGTACTACCATGTCTTGAAATTTTTTTTCTAGTATTTCATAATTTTAAAGGTGGCTATCCTTGCCATCTTCCTTCTATTGTTTTTTGTTACTGATACATCTCAGTGCTTGTAAAGGCTAACTGTAGGAGCTTTGTTGAATATTTTCGTAGCATCTAGTATGTTAGAATGTTCAAATGCACAAAAAAATTAACTTAAAAAGTATAATATATTCCCATTGTGATAACAAGAATCCTTTAGGCCATAAATATTTTGTATGTATTAATCTTGAGCAATTAAAAAAATCTTTATAATTCCTTTTCTGTTAGGAACTGGAAACTTTCTTGTAGTTTATGTTTTTAATGCATCATTTACCTCCATTATGGTTTAGTTGAGGTTTGAAACTATATCAACTAACTTCCTTGTGTCATCTTTTCCATCTAACTTAAGTTTAATATCAAAATTTCTAGTTTAACTCTGAAAAATTTCATTGAAAGGGGTATTTAATATTTTATCATAAAAAAGGTTAACAGTAAAATCTGAGCACATAACTGCTGTTCTTGATATATTATTTTGCTAATTTATTACATCTTAGATAAGTTTCGTCTTGCATTTGACTCTTATTTGTTAAAATATCAAATACACCTTTCTGATATTTTTCTTTGAAGTGTAAAAGAGCCATTTTAGTATTAATATAACTAAGTTGGATGTAAAATGTAATATAGTTGGGCAATGATAATTACTCGTTTATAAATTAGTAGTTAATGGTAGTTGTTTTATTCTGATGGTTTTGATTTTGCTCTTTATATCATACTTAAGTTTGTTGAGCAGGCAATCTAGAAAAAAACAGGTTGAAAATGTGGAGCGCCTTTTTATCATCATACTCATAGACTTATCATATTCATTGTTTATGTTTGTCTATTTTTTACCATATGCTTTTCATGCTTTGCCTATGCTTGTTTTGAAAGATTAGTTCCTTTTGGCACATAAACGATATTGTTGAACAACTTCAAACAAGGACAAGCAGGAGCAAAGTATGTGCAGGACTAACTTTTTTGAAAAACGAAGAACTTTCACTAATCCGTTGTATATGTGGACTGTACAGGGTTGACAACTAGAAGATAGGCAACCTGCTAGCATCATCAACACAAACAGAAAAAATACTCAAATTATCCATTTTAACACCTCTAAAATTCATCATGTGCAAAGTAGTTATATTTGATGTCATATATTTCTTTCCTGCTTGAATTATGTTATAACATTAATCATCTTAAACAGTGGTATTCCATTTGATCTCAAACCAATATCTCAAAGAAAGCGAATTCAACCTTCAGAACTGACTGGGTCTTGGAAAGTATTTGAGATCAGCGCAACTCCAGTCTTCAGCGATGCAGAAGCAACTGAAGAAGGTGATCTACCTTTGGTCTACCTCTGCATGGAGACATTGAAGAAGAGGAGCTTGCCTGGAAGCTCAGCCTTCTTTGGTGAGGAGGAAGAAGTCGACTTGAATGATGTTACTGCCCTCTGGCTGCCGGGTGGAGTGGTAGGATATGTTGATGTGAATAAAGAGGGTACCTTATGCATAGGGATTAGTTGGTATTCTAATGAAGGGATTAACCTTGTGATGGAAAGAGACTATGGAATGGATGGAAACCTCAAGGAGGTGAGGTGGAAATCTGAGATCAAGAGGCGGTGGTCCTAGTCACCATCTCTATTGCGTTGTAGGTTTTGACGACTATTTCATCGGACGAGTCTCCTTGTACTGGCTAGTGGCTTTGATTTTCTATTGAGTGATTTCTTTTTTGCTCTTTCTATTTTATGTTTAGTAGCTTGTGTGTGCGTGATCGAAATTTTTTGTGTGATCTAAGTCAGATTTTTATTTTTTTGTAGTATAAATATTAATCATTGCTGGAACTATATATTGTTCTCCAGTTTTTTTTTTTTTTTTTTTTTTTTTTTTTTTTTTTTTTTTTTTTTTTTTTTTGATCTTTCAGATTTTGATGCTTATTATATTGTTTAAAATGGAAGAGTTTTTGCTATTTTTGCAGTCAACATTATTATTTTTGTCAAAGGAATTAGGTTTGGAAATTGTAACCAGGGATATAGAAGTATGTGGCTATTCACAATGGTAGGCTTGATAAGCTAATAACAATTACTGCTTGGATTAAAAATATATAAGAGCTTGTGAAGCTTTCCAGCATGCTGCAAGCCAGACTTGCGAATTCAAACATGAATTTAACTACAACTGAAATTCCTTTCTGTTTAACAATTCTCCACGGTTCTATGTTGAAATGTTTGGTGGCTGGACATACACGCATAAAGCTAGACTCCATTACCTTTGTAACTAATGGCTTTGCTAAAACTTCAAATGACATGCTTTTGAGTAGAAAGAATGAGGACTAAGGGTTTAGTTTTAATAATGTTGTATATATTCATTAATTGTAATTTTTGTAAATGTTTGTAGTAATAATTCTTTTTAATCGAGGGGGCCTAATAAGTCAACAATGGTTGATTGAGCTCTATTCATGAGCTGTTTAGCAAAAGAAAATTTTACTACGCAGGCCTCCTAATAGAAAAAATTAAGGAAATATGTTTACTTTTGGTTTTTTAGAGGGACAGCTGCCTAAAAGTTTCTTTTTAGATAAAAAATATTCTAATTTTTGAACAATTTGAGAAGAAATTCTGACTAAATGGTTACGCAATTATTTGATTATACGAGCTATACAATCCTAATCAAGTCAACAAAGCTTGATGGAAGTTCTGTATTTAAAAATGTTTCCCAATAAAAATCGCCTAATAAAGCAAGATGGAAGCAATAATCTGTCACTTTATTACAATCTCTTGGAACAAAATTAAAAATGATATTGTTAAAAACTTCAAGAAAAGAGAGGTCCGCCTTTTGAGCTTTATTGTTCTTCTCTGAGTTCCTCTTTATCGAGTTTTGAAGCTTATTCATGATATTTATATTATTTCCTTCTATAATTATTCCTTTATATTTACTCATTCGTCCTTGAATGTAAGTTTCGAAGATAACTATCGATTTTAGCTCCAAAAAAGCAATATCCCAACGTATCAATTTTTTGCCATAAGCACACATCATTCTCCCTTTATGGTCTCTTAGCACTCCTGTAATACCTGCCGCATTCGATGGTAAGACTGTTGCATCTACACTCAATTTGATCCAACCTTCAGGTGGGGGACACCAAGCTTTAGACAACATTTGCTAATTGGTGTCCCAGTTCTTCTCGATTGGAGCTAAATGTATACAAGAAGCATTAGATAATATTTTAGCTGCTATGTATGCTGTAGGAGGAACAGTTTTTCCATGCTTTGAGAAATTTTGAAACTTCCAGTTATGGTAAACCGCTGAAACATAAATTCTGGCTAGACCACAATTCGTTCTTCCTTTGTTCTTTAGTTCGTCTACATAATGCAACTTATTTTGGAACAAAGGAATGTTGATCCCCCATTGTCTCAATCTTTGTAATATTTCAATTAGTTTAGAGCAGCTTATGGCAACATGTTCTATTTTTTCCGGAATTTGGCATCCTCTAGGACAATCTCTATTGCAAAGTAATAGTCTATGGTATAACAACACATTGGTCGGCAAAGCATCATTCAATAATCTCCACCAAAATAGAAAGTCCCTTTGATTTACTTTTAGATTTTTCATTCATCTTATGTTTCTCACATTACCATCTTGTATTTGACTGTTGGCTTCATAAGACAAAGAGGTTATTGACCTACCTGAGTTAGTGTTGATTAATTCAACCTTATCTTCCATTTCCTCATTTCCGATAAAAGTATGTTGAATCAACTTTTCCATTTCTTCAGAGAAATATGTATTCAACTTCTCCTTGCTCCAAGTTCCATCTTCTTTAATTAAGAAAGAAACTTTCTTATGATGAAGATCATTTGTATTACATGACGCCGGTCAAGTATTCAGTGTTCTATCAAATATCCAAGTGTCTCTTATGATGCGAATTTTTTCTCCATTATGCACTTTCCATCTTATTATTGGTTTCATATAATTTTCTCTTTCTTTCGTTGTTCGCTAAGATGGAGAGGAGTTTCTTTTAACACCTTCTTCCCAAATGTCATCACCATACTTCTTTTTCAATACTCTGTTTAAGAGTGAATTCTGATTTTGTAGAAAGTTGCATGCTAGTTTAGCTCTCAACGGGCCTTGCCTATCTACTGCTCCTAGAATGCCTAATCCTCTTGATTTAGTAGACAAGCATAATGTAGGTCATGTTATGTAATGCAATCCCTATCTCCCATTTTCCTTATGCCATAAAATATTCCTGCATAGTTTATCAATTGTCATCAAAATGCTTCTTGGTATTAATGAATGAACCACCTGGTATGAGAATATGGAAGAAAATGTTGTTTTAATTAACAACATTCTTCCTGTCATAGATATCCACCGACCTCCCCATGACTTCAATCTATCCATTTCTTTTTCTATAATATAGTTGAAGTCTACTTCTTTCAATCTCCTTAATGCTAGTTTTATTCCCAGGTAATTGAACTCCTTGACTTCTTTTATTCCCATGAATTTATTTAATTTCCTTCTTCTCTTCTTTGAGACATTCTTTCCACAGAGCACCAAAGACTTTTGATTTTTCTTTTAAGGACCTCATCAGCACCTCCATGATCCTTTTTCCTCCAAGCATTAGAAATTATCCCTCTTACGGCCTCATAAGAACACCACAAATTCTCAAATCTGTTTTCTCTTGGCTTGAGCATCTTCATACTAGGAAATTGAAGGAGTAGAGGGCAATGATTCGATGCCACTCTAGGAAGGTGTTTAATGACTATAGAAGGAATGTCCATAATTGATTTTTAGTTTAGCCAAACTCTATGAAGTCTCTCCCATATTCTAGCAAGTCCTTCTTTATTATTGCACCATGTGAATTTAGTACCAATAAAACCTATGTGATGAAAGTCATTATTGGTCATGAACTCCTTCATCTCTTGAGGGCCATATGAGAATTAAAATATTTTTCCTCCCTTCTTCTCATGCTTTGTTAGTAAGCAATTGAAGTCACCCCCTACAATACAAGGCTCCTCACCATTCATATTATTCTCAATCAATCTCCATAGTTTCCTTCTTTTATACATGTTTTTGTTGCCATAAACTATGCATACCTTCACTGAAAATACCCCTTGGAGTGGTCAGGTTACCAATGATACATTGGTTGGATGAGTCAAGAACTGTAAACGAAGTAGTTCTATGTTTCCACAATGCTAAAACACCACTAGAAATTCCACTATAAGCAACATGGTGGAACTCCCAATCATCTCCTACCAATTTTCTAACATCTTCTTTTCCCAATCTTTCAAGTTTTGTTTCTATAATACCAATGAAGAAAATATCATTCTCTCCTATCAAACTTCTCAAGTAGTGGGAAGCTCCTTTCTTCTTTGCTCCCCTACAGTTCCAAAATATTATGGAAGACATTTAAGAGAAGTGTGGGGATGAGGCCCCAACCTTTTCAACACCTCCTTCTCCTTTTCTTGTTCTTTGATTACCCTTGATTAGTCCAAGCATTTTCACTTCTTTAGCTAGTTTAACTTTGTTAATAGATAGATTAGGAGTATTCTTACATACTCTCATCTTCCCATTCACCTTTATTCCTTTTCATCTCCAAAGCCCTTGCCTTGATTAGATATTTCTTCCTGCTCTTCTGAAGCCTTATCCATTTCTTACGGTATAACCTTTTCTTGTTCTTTATTCTGATCAAGAACAGCTTTCTTTTCTGATTCATTACTATTTTTAATTGCCTCTTTCTGGGAATTTTCAATAGTATGAAAGAATGTTTTTGAGTTTTCATCACATTTACCTTCTATTTCCTTAGTAGATGGATTAATCACCTCAGCTGGATCACCTTTAATGCACTGCTCATTCTCCATGATAATTTCTCCTTCTTCTACCATTGTGTTGCTTAGAATTTCCTTCTCTACTTCCAAATTCACATTTGTTTCCTTCTCTTTGATTTCCAAACCCATAATTTTAGTTGTTTCCTTCATAACAATATTGTTTGGGATCTTCTTCATGAAGGTCTTGTTAATCGGCCTCCCATTAGAAACGAATATAGTCTTGTTTCTTTTGTAATTCACATGCACCCATGGCCCATAATTTATGTTATCCTCATTTTAATGTACCAAGTCATGAGCTTTCTTACTATCTCCTTCAACATGATTTTTTGCCACCATGATTCCCTTTCTACATTCACTTTGGACACATCCAATCTTCCCACATTCAAAACAAATTCAAAACAAAAACTTGAAATTCTCTTATATTCAAATTTTCGGAAGAATCTTCCCGCAATGTCTTCGACCCAAACCCCCAATGGGAGTGTTTGGTCTAATTTCACACAAACACAGACTCTTGCAAACTCTCTTCTCCCCCATTAGAACATGTTACAGTCCAACATCAATGGAACGCCCACCATAGAAGCAATCCTTGCAATATTTCTCTCATCGCAACATTGTAAGGGTAGTTGAGGCATTTTGATCCAGATTGGAGAGGTAAGTCCTTTCATTGATGAAGGAGAAAACTCCGGGGACCATCGTGATCCATACAAATAATGTGCCCATTCACAAACCATGGGCCACCAGAAAGGACACCTTCTAGAGCTTCAGTCGTTTTAAAAGAACACAAAAATCAGCCCATTCCAAGAGTAGTTAAGTGAAATTGGTCAAATTGAGCCCATTGGCGCCTAAGTTCCATGGCAACGATATGAGAAGGTAATTATTTTCCAAAAACCTTGCATACCATAGAATTACCAAGTATATTAGCATTTTTAATTTCAGAATCTATAATTAGTCTCACTACCTTCCCGTCTTCCATCAACATAACTTCTCCTTTAGTAAAATTTAATTTTATATAGGGCTTCTTGGTCCATGCATTATC